TGAGCCACCCCCACCGGGGCCAGCCCTGCACTTTCCATGGGAGGGGATGGGGAACCAGACAAGATGTCCTCCTCCTCACAGCCGCCGTTTCCATGGAAAGGGATGGGGAACAAGAGCCTCAGGAGCTGGGTGAGGAGAAAAGACTAGAATGCTGAGCCCTGAGTGAGCACCGATGGGGGTGCAGATGGGTGGACAGCCCTTTAGGGTGAATCCATCAGAAAAGAGGGCTGGGTAGGCAGTGGGGTGGTGCCTGACCAACCCCTGTGGGCTTCTGGGAACATTCTGGAGCAAGGAGGCTGGTGTGGACATCAAAGGGTCCCAGATACTTGGGACTGACACAGTGATCCTCCAGGAACCACAGAGTAAGTTCCTTCCCCCAAGGGGGGAGGCTTATTTTGTGCAACCCAAAGACCCCAGAAGAAGTTACCTTCCAGAAACCATGACAGCACAGAACAGATGCCCCCTCCCACTTCATCACCTGACCAGCTTGGAGGTGGGGGGGCAGCCTTGGGCCAACTTTGAAGCTTTCCCACCTCTAAGGCTGCCCCATGAACCACCCCCTACCACCTGGCCCCAGCCTCCCCCTAACCATCCCCTCCCCACAGCCATGTGCCCCTCAGAACAGCCAGGGCAGGGAAACCCAGAGGGAAACAGGCGAGTCCAGGTGGTGGCCTAAGAAGCAACAAGGCAGAGTCAGAGCAGGATGGAGGCAACAGAACTCGCCCCAACCCCTCCATGAGCCTCACCCCACTCCTGCCTGGACCCCTCCCTCTGAAACTGACAACAGATGGGTCTGGGTGCCTGTCAGTCCTTGAGTCAATTATTAAGCAGAGACAGGGTTAAATCGTATGAATATTTATTAGGATGGATTGCCTGCCGAATGGGAGAGAATGCCTCTGGGACCAGGTTGTTATCTTTCCAAGATGACAGGAAACTCTCAGAAAAGGAGCCTGGACTGCATTCTGAGGTTAATCCCCATTGGCCCTGGGTGAACAGCTCTCAGCCAGGTGAGAATGTGCTTTCCCTAATAGGAAGAGAACAGTCTCAGTCAACAGACAGGGTTAATAGGAGAACATAGCTGGTCCCCACTGTTCTATTTCTGCCCCACAGCTCCTCACTGACGTTCCTCTCCCCCCAGCACCCCGCCTTTCCTCGCAGGCAGGCCACCACCCCAGACCCTGACTGTCCCTACCTCCTCCCATCCCTCTCCAGGCCGCTCCTCACCAGCAGGCTTTCTGAGGTGAAAGACCAGCAGAACCAGGAGGCTCAGGAACAGGAGCACGGTGGTCACAGAGAGAAGGATGGTGATCCAGAAGTTGGTAGAGACCAAGTCCTCATCCTTTTTTCTGAGGAGGAGATGGGGACACCTCAGGAGGCTGCCAGGTCTGGCTGCATTGGTGCTGGGCTAGAAGCCCCTCAAAATCTCATTTCCTTCCCCACCAAGTGACTGGGCCGGGGAGTGGCTGGGTGCCCCCCAGATTTGGGTGACCTGAGGGATAAGGCAGGGACTCCAACTTTGTCCCCAGGGCAATGGGAATTTTCAGAGCCAAGGGGATCCTAGGTCTTGGGGTTGGAAGGAGGAAGGGGTGTAGCCGGGGTGGGTGGGTGTCCTGACCTTAGTTGCTCCAGCTCCGCGGATTTCTTCTCCAGATCTGCGGACTTCTCCTCCAGATCCGTAGATTTATCCTCCAGATCTGCGGATTTCTTCTCCAGATCCCCAGATTTCTTCTCCAGATCCGCGGATTTCTTCTCTAGATCCCCGGATTTCTTCTCCAGATCCCTTGATTTCTCCTCCAGCTCCGCGGATTTCTTCTCCAGATCCGCGGATTTCCTCTCCAGATCCCCGGATTTCTTCTCCAGATCCCCAGATTTCTTCTCCAGATCCCTTGATTTCTTCTCCAGATCCGCGGATTTCTTCACCAGACCCGCGGATTTATTCTCCAGATCCGCAGATTTGTCCTCCAGATCCGTGGATTTCTTTACCAGATCCCCGGATTTCTTCTCCAGATCCTCGGATTTCTTCTCCAGATCCATGGATTTCTTCACCAGATCTGCGGATTTCTTCTCCAGATCCGCGGAGACATGGCATCCCTGATGTTGGGCAGAGGCTCCCTGGCGTCCACACAGGGCAACACTTCCCCGGGCTTCCTCTGTGTGGCCAGTCCTGTGCTACGAGCTGACAGAGCCACCAAAGAAAGAGTCGGGGAGGTGGCGGCTGCACATCGGGGTTGGGAGCAGATCCGTTGATTTCTTCTCCAGATCTACGGATTTCTTCTCCAGATCCACGGATTTCTTCTCCAGATCTGCAGATTTCTTCTCCAGATCCGCGGAGTTCTTCTGCAGATCCGAGGATTTCTCCTCCAGATCTGCGGATTTCTTCTCCAGATCCGTGGATTTCTTCTCCAGCTCCCCGGATTTCTTCTCCAGATCGGAGGATTTCTCCTCCAGATCTGCGGATTTCTTCTCCAGATCCGTGGATTTCTTCTCCAGCTCCCCGGATTTCTTCTCCAGATCGGAGGATTTCTCCTCCAGATCTGCGGATTTCTTCTCCAGATCCGTGGATTTCTTCTCCAGCTCCCCGGATTTCTTCTCCAGATCGGAGGATTTCTCCTCCAGATCTGCGGATTTCTTCTCCAGATCCGTGGATTTCTTCTCCAGATCCGCGGATTTCTTCTCCAGATCCCCGGATTTCTTCTCCAGATCCGCGGATTTCTTCAACAGATCCGCGGATTTCTCCTCCAGCTCAGCGGATTTTTCCTGCAGCGACTGATTCAATGTCTTCATCTCTTCTAAGGAGGGACAGAGAGAGTGTTCGCACAGTAGTCACACCCCAACTGGCCCCACCCCTGGACAGGACTCGCCTCATTAGAGCGAGTGCACCTTGGGAGTCTGGCTTGCCCGCCTCTTCCTACTGCCCCTGGCTTTGGTCCTGTCCCTCCTGCCCGACCCCAACCCAGAGGCACTCCCCCTCCCTCCTCTTCAATAC